TTGATTATTTATGCTCTTTGTTTTAGATGGAAGTCGGGATTGAAGATTGTCTGCACATCGAGTTCGAGTATAACAAAAGCAAGTAAGTAGTGTAGATTTTCTGGCTGGGGTTTGAACTATGCTCTTGCAACATCTACCTCCTCAACTTCATTGTTTTATATGACGAATTTATTAAATCTTCAAGGAAGTATTCGTTCTTTTGTCACCGACTAGATAAACTTCTATTGGCATTTATAGAAGCTGATCATGTGGGCTGTTTCATTGGCTACCTTTAATTGTTTTTATTTATTATTTAATTATTATTATTATTATCATTTTCAAACTGGAAGCAATGGCCTTTCCCCTCGTCTCTTTCAGAGATGGAAAATTACTTTTCTTAGTGAGTTAAGACAATTTGATCTTCAGGTACCATCTCAAGGATGTTATCATTGGCAAGATTTATTTTTTGCTGGTGAGAATCAAGATAAAGAATATGGATCTGGAGATCAGGCGACGAGAATCAACGGGATCTGGAGCTAACACTCATGTCGAGACAGAGACACTAGCTAAGTATGAGCTAATGGATGGAGCTCCAGTTAGAGGTTTGCTCCAAATGCTCCTTTTTTTTTTTTTAATTACCATTACCTAATGCAGGGTAGGACATTTGTGTTTAAATGGTAAACCTCATTTGTTTCTTTCTCCATGAAGCAAACGCTTCTTCGATATTTGAATAGTAACAAAGATACTGAACACCTAAAACACGCTTAACAAGGCATAGGCCCAAAATAAAAAACTGCACACATACAACCTTGAAAAACATGAGATACTAAACTTTCTTGCTAACACAGTGTGTGGTAATCTGCGTTGAAAGTTACTTTTCTGGCGTTGTGTTTTTTAGTTCCAAATGAATCGGAAAGCTTAAAAAGATTGTATTTGCTTCTCTAGGTGAATCTATTCCTGTCAGATTGTTTCTGAGCCCTTATGAGCTGACGCCTACGCATCGTAATATCAACAACAAATTCAGTGTGAAGTATTATTTAAATCTTGTTCTTGTTGATGAAGAAGACAGACGCTATTTCAAGCAGCAGGAGATCACTATATATAGGCTTCAAGAGACTTCCTGATTACTCATCTCCAGATACTGTTAGATAAAGTCACTATTGGGAAGGATATCAACTACTGGGAGACCTCTGTAAAGCGCATTTTTTTTTTCCTTGAAAATTGTCTATTTCTTTTCCAAGCAAAATGTTTGACTGGTTTGCTTAGGCATGAAATCTTGGTGAGAGCATTTCTTTTAGTTGGTGGTAAGTCGGATGTGTTGATTATATGAACGCTGTTGCCAAATTGTTGAACAAATTCATCACGAGCATCGATATCTGGTTTTAGCGTGCTCAATTGTAGATTCGTTTCCCTTTTTTTTTCCCCCCCAAGTTTGCATATTGTTCAGCAGTTCTTTTGTTGTTCAGAAGGAATAATATTCTGCTTTTAGGATGCCTCAACTTTTCTTCTTTAAGTGCAACTCTACTTTCTTATATTACACCCAACTAATTGTACTAATTCTGCTCGTGGCTAGAAGAGTACCACACCACGCCAGCAAGAGAAGTCGGCAAAAAGGACTTGTAACCTGAGAAAAAGGAAATCGTTTGACTATTCCCGCCTGCAAGCTGAGGAATAGGATATTGTTCTCGGTTTGAATACTTATTCAAACTCATGAAATAGTAAGTAGCTGCAAAAAAAAATTGTTAGCACATTTGGTAGTTGAAGCCATGAGGGCACTTAACTTATGCAAACTATCTTCTTCTATTGCTTTTCTTTGATTTTAATATGCATTGTCCTATTATATTAGTTAAGATTATGAGCAATATTAATGGTTGATTTGTTGTCGTAGTATAATTTTAATGGGCATTCTCTCTTATTTTATAAGTCATCACATCTTCAATCAAACAATCTCACATCGCCCATACATGTGTATTTTCGTTCAATTGTGATTCTAATTGACTTGCTTCTACTCTAGGTCAAGTCTTAAGGCTCAATCTTGCGTCTATCCTAGACCAAGACCATTCAAATGCAACATAACATCTCATTGCATCATCTAGGTTATCAACAACACGACTCACATGCTTCTACATCGATTTGAAACTTCCAAGATGCATTCAGACTATTCATTGGATCAAAGTGGTCTTAAAACACTCAATTGGAGCTTGTATAGTGATTTTATCATTCACCAAGACGGATCCATGGATTATAACATTCACCGAGACAACTATATAGATTAAAGTTTATCGGTCATTTTTACACTTATTAGGATATATTGGCTCAATATAGAATTGATATCTCTTGAGTTCCATGGATGCTTCATGATGTCGTCTCAAGCCACATAATGTCAATGACCTTTGTAGTTCACTTGGATATGTTTATCAAGAGTCAACCTATGAGTAAACTTTATATTTGAGACCTCCCAAACAACCATCCATCCAGGCACTATTGAGGCAAGAACCCCTCGTGTCCATGTCATCTCATTTTTACATTTTGTATCAAAGTTTGACCCTATATTTCAACCTCCTAACTCTTGAGGTTATGACTCGGGGTCCAATCTAGTTCCCATTAAGTTTCTAATCCTTGAACACATTGTTGCTTCTAAGCTTACTAACACTTGAGCTTGACAATTTTGCATACTCTTTTTGGTGTGTAAGTTCACACATTGTTTTATCGATGTCACTTACGTGCCACCTTCTATCTGTCTACATGTGGAAAGCACAAACTATTTTATTCTTAATATGGTTATGCATTATCTTTTACTTAAATTAGTTATCGTCCTATCTATAAGCTAATCCACCAACAAATATAGTTACACTTAGTTCTTAGGACTTGGCCACCAAGACTCGTAATGTAGACACGACAAAACTTCTAATGTCTCTTAGCTTAACTTATGACACCTTTTGGTCAGCTTAATGACGCTTGCTTGGCCAATTCTCAACTTGGCCCCATGATGTCTACAAATGTCGCTTCACTGTTGTCTTGCTGCAACTTCTCATTTCTCGTCTCTTAAATCCGGTTGGTACTCCTTCATGAACAAACGCGGTTTTGAAAACTTCTTGTGAAGCCACCCACTTAGGCATGTGAAAATGGCTTTAGGTGCCTAAGTGGCTCACTTCTCTTGGAAAACCTCCACAAGCAAACAACCAATTTTCTTTTGAGTTATTTTCCTCTCTCGTGTTCACTTCTCTACGCTGTTTGTCTCTCACCTGTACACTTCTCTTGGAGCACTCACACTGACACTTGACTTCACTGCTTGTAACCATTAATATTATCTCTTAATATTAATATAAAAAATTTAGATGTGAATGTGAGCGATACAATCTAACCAGAATAAAAAACGACATAAAAAATATCACTCTTACAAATTTAATTGTTTCTTCTCCAAATGACGATTCTATAGAAGGTGAGGCACGACGTCGTGATCTTGACATACTCACGACCAACCTTGAGAGAAACCTGAGCCTCATATGCATTTTTCGCACGACTTTCTGGTTTCATCGGACCTTATGTGAGTTTTGTCTTCGCCCACCGAACACAACTTGTGCAAAATGCAAGCTTGTTCTTCCACACACACCACTGTGTGTATGTTCAATTATCTGCGACACATCCGACTTGCCCCTACACTAGGCCAAGTTATTCGGCTCGACCTTGCCTCTACTCGGGACCAAGGTCTCTCATGTGCAACGTCGCATCTCAAATCATCTTGGTTCCCAATTAGCATGACCCATTGGTCATCATGGCTCACTCGGTCACGCCATCGAGAATGGGCACACGTGTTGCTCATAATATCGGAATATCCTTAACATCTATCCATCCAAGTTCTATCGAGGCATTGGACTATCCCCCGTGTCCATGCCATGTCGTTTACGGATTTTGTATCGGATAGTGGGTGTATGATCCAACCTCTGAAACATGGAGGGGCACAATACTAGTACACTTGTGTTGTCCGATACTATACTTGAAAAACTCATCTCAAAGAAAGTCACTTAAGACACTTGTCTCACAATGCTGGCCCTCAGTGACCCACATATATGTCACATGGTAGCTCTCTTAGACCACAAGGCCTAAGGGTGGTGGAGAGCTGATACCATGCCTCCTCCTATAGTACATTTTGAGGTATTTTTAATTTTTCTCGAGTAGACGTCATTTTGGCTAAGCTCATACGCTGTTGTGGAGCATCCATCCCGTGTCCAATTGACACCAAATTTGAGGAGCTTTCATATTTCGTATGGACAGATTTGATTCCAGAATTACATGCCAAATTTCCTTCGGAACCCTGACTTTCAAGTTTAAGGCTCGAGGCTCTACTCGGCCCTTCAACAAGTCTATTTTTTGGCCTCTTGTCTAGTCGTCGCCCGTATCTTGCTTATGTCTCGTTCTAGCTTCAATACCCACTTTGTATGGTGTGTTGAATAATACACCTTCCTCTTCAGTCGTATAATGACACTCGTCTAAGCCCTCATGTGGCCGGATGGGTGCCATTTGAGAGTCGCCGCTTTGCTTCTCGCAACATAAGGGTCATAAACTACTATTCTCATAGTATGACTGTGACATTCTCTCCCACTTAAACTAGCCGGGAGCAAATCACTCCATAGATTATGACACTAATGAGTTGTGTTGCTTTCGATTGCTCCACAGTGAAGCGAGTGCACTAGCGTGAATTATGCGGCGACGTTATGCTTTCCTTTTTTGTTTTTTAGTTTGAAATTTAAGAAATTCAGCTCTTGACTGCTTTTGGAATTACAATATACATCTTACAAGCATGTCGCTTTCATATAAAAAAAAAACACCTTTCAATTATTTTTCAAAACTATAAAAAGGAAAAATAAAAAAACACCTCGAAATTATCCAAAAATACTTCTTCTTATAGATTTATAGACAATCATGATACCCCTTGATCAAATGTGGATTTAATTCCTAATATTTAGGGTATTATTTCATTTTCATTTCTCTTATTTTAAAATCAAACATATTTAAAAAAAAAAAAAAAAAACATATATTGTGTATTTTATTGAAGAACATTATGAAGTAAAACATATTACACAAAACAATATATTTTTACAACAATATTTGATCAGAAATTCCAAAGGCAATGAAGGTCATCCAAAGGAGGCGATGGATGGTGGTTAGCCCCAAACCCAAAGGCTTCTTCAAACCCTTTAGAAGAGCCTACCTTCAACCTCCAAACCTCTCCTCCTCCTCCATCTTCCTCCTCCTCAAAATGCCCCGACCAAAACTGGACGTCCTCGGTTCGATCTTCCATTGAATTGGAGAAGCAGGTCACGAGCGATGCCTCCGACTCCATTAATGGCGGAAGCACCCTGGATGACATTCCTGTTTCGTCCCCCTTCTTCCCACTCCTCTTCTTCAATATTCTGCATATCACCCATTCCTTCTGCATCCAACAAAACACCTCCTTTCATTTTAGTCCCTATACTTTCATCAAATCTCACATACGGCCACCACATTCAACAATATCCATTAGATTTAAATTCTTATTAGAAAATAATAAAATTGTCGGCTAACTTAGGAAATGATCATGAGTTTATTAGTAACTCATACCATTGTGGAGCATCGTTATTCTTAACATGGTATCAAAGTCATGCTCTTAACTCACCCATTTTAATAGAATCCTTGACTCAAGTGTAGAACAAATAGCGAGAGGATTTGGAACAAAAAGTGGGGTTTTTGTTGTGTGTTTACCTGGGAAAAAGCAGAGGATTGGGCGTGTAATCTATACTCATGCATGACCCAATTGGACTTTTGTCCACGAGGGGCTCTGCCTTTGTAAAAAACCAGAGTTTTCTTGAACCCAATAAGGCATCTCCCTTTGAAAATCTCTCTGTCTTTGCCGGTGGCCTTCCAATACCCAGCCTTTGTGGCCCTGTTCGTCCTTAAACCACTAGGGTACTTCCTATCTCTCACACAGAAAAAGTACCATTCTTTCTCCCCCATTTTGGCCTTCCCTGTACACAAATTCAACTGTTACACAAAGACAAAGCCTCAAAAACCACTCAGTGGCTGCGGAATTACCAGGCAAATCCCACGGCTCGCACTTGTTGAGATCCACTTCCGCGATTGCTGGAGAACAGAAACCAGAGCAAACCACTTTCTGGGAAAGATAGTGTGTGATCAGCTCCTCATCCGTCGGGTGGAATCGGAATCCAGGTGGCAGTTCCATCACCGTCTGATCTTCTTCTTCTTCACTCTTTCCCATTCCAAGAGTTTTAAGGATGTTTTGTTACAGAACAACACTCCGGCCTTTTGTAGAGACACAAAAGGAAAACACGTTCGGTCTGGCTGGTATGGTTTGGTTTGGTTTGGTTCGGTTCGGTTCGGTTCGGTTTAAATTACGACAGAACAAAAATCTCAGACAACTTAATCCTCGGCTATAACAACCTTGTCTCTCTCTCTCTCTTTATTTCTCGACCACGAACATTTCACTGTGTGTGTCGCATGAAAATTTGCTCAACTTTTTCTTTTCTTTTAATTAAATATTTATTCATAAAAAGAAAAAAGCTTTTAGATCCAATCTTATCCATTTATATATGTAATACTTTATCTTTTAGTGTACGGGTTTTGATTGTATTTAGGTCTCTCGTTTCGATTGTATTTTGATATTTGAGTGGAATAATTGAGTGTCTTCGTTAACTGTCTCATTTTCAAAGGATTACTCTCTTGTTAGGATCACAATTTAGTTGATCACGAGCAAATATGAACTTGTATTTGATTTTCCACTTTCAAATACGTAGTCAATCTAGGATCTACTCATCGAGCACCCATAATTTGGTGTAAATCCAACTATGAGTGGAACAAATAATTTCATGTTTCTTTAGTAAACGTAGCATAATATCTTAGTAATCAAAACAATCGTTTTTTAACATAATTATAGTTTCCTAACCTTCATATATCCTCGAGAACATCATATTATTAGAGCAGGATTAGCCAATTCTTTAGCTTTTGAAAGCTTTTCTGAGGATCTTTTCTTACCAAATCAAAGGAATTTACAAATTTCTGTTTCCATTAGGTTACTTCTCTTAGTCTTTGATTAAATTTTTATGATCAATATTTGCAGTATACACCAAATTAAATTTGATTGATGGGTAGAATCAACACTTAAATAACCCGACAAAAAACTAAGTTTTGGATCATTTTTAATATTGTTATTCTATTTTAAAAAAAAAGAATTGTAGTGATAATAGTGAAATAAAATTGAAATTATTAGGAATAATGTAATTTGGATTATTAGGTCAAAAGAAGAGAGAGGTGGAGAGAATAAAAGTCATGGAGTTAGTTGGTATCTGCCTAAACTAAAAGTCTTCAACTTTATACCAATTTTAAAATAATTTTAAAATGCCTTCGTGTGGAAGATATCCATTAATATACTTTCCTTTTCATAGATATATATATGGAAGCTAAATTCGAATACCCACCCACAAGAACTTGTATGGTAGAATATAGCACGCAGATGTTTGAACAACTTTAAGTTAAAAGTTGAGTAAGAGTTCATCATCTTCGAGCAGACTTCACCCCATACGATATGATTTGTCGTTACAGCATGACTCTTAACCACTAGTAGGGTTATGAATACTATACTGCATCGTATTCGAGATGAGCTTGAAAAAGAACCCGTCTAAACTTATTTTGTAATTTTAGACGGATCAAATGAGATTTAAAATTATTGTTGAGTAAGTTCTAGTCGAGTTGACTAATATCTTTTCGATTAAGTTTCAAATTTTAGTTTGATTGATTCTTAATGTTAATAATTTAGGTTTAGTTGATTCAACAACTTTTGATTAAGTGGACGATGTTATCTTTTAAATTTACTATTTAGGTGAGTGCTTTTACTACTTGAAAACCTTAAGCATGACAGGATGCTATATGTTATTTGGAATGTTTTGTATGATCGTTCATAAAATAGTCATGTATCATATGAATGTCATTAATATTATATATTGAGAACGAAAATAAATATATATGTCATGTTTGCTAGAGGATGATGCTACGGAGTCTCATGTATAAGTATATGGTTAAAATTAAAATTAAGTGTTTGTCTTAGTAACACTATTGATAAGACTCATTTTATAATTATTCAAATAATTTGATCCAAATATTTAATCTCTTTCTAAATTTATTAATCGAGAAGATTAATATTTCACATATGGATCATATGCGACTTGATCATGGTTACGAGTTCTTGCCTAAAAGAGCTTATCCTTTCATTTAAATGGGTGATAAAGACTTTTGTAGTCAAATCAATTTGCCTACCACTTTAGAAACTTGACCAGTTAGAAACATGATCTTACTAGATAAAATTCACTTTTCAAATACATGCTCATATCGTTAGGACAAACTCTAGTAGATTCTGGTACATATAGAGAGTGACCTCGTGTTATTGTGTAGGGCACAACATTAATAGAACATAGGAGTGACCTCGGATATGAGTTCATATCATGTAGGGCACGATCGTATAGTTACCAACTATATACATATACAAATTAATTGGTAACATTCTAACACTCTCATATGCTTATGGGTCTTTTGCTCGAACTTCTAGTGGTAAAAAAATATTTAAAAATGACCAAAGTAATTCATATAAATTTTTTTTTGAATTTCTGTCTTCAAAATATATCATCATGTTTTCATTTCTTTTTTTCTAAATACAATTATATCTTCAAAATTGAAATTTTTAAAAAGATATCAACAAAATCTAACCTAATCTTATTTTATTCAAAAATATTTGTCGTGTTCCACCAACAAATAATTTTTGTCCTTAATATTATGTATAATTTAGCATTGTTTTGTTTTTTTTTTTTTTCATAAAAAACACAATTTTTTAGAGTTGTAAAAAAATACTAAAATATTTTTTAAAAAAGCCAAAAGTTTTAATTTTATAAATTGCAATCATGATCTTCTTTTATAGTTTTCTGAATTAATTATAAGACATAGTTAAAAACATTTTTCATTTGCAAATTAGTAAATATTAAAATATTAGTCTACCAAATAGAATACCCATTTTGAATTATTGAATGAATTTCCTTTCCCATTTTTATAATATTCTTTAAATAAATCAATAAATTAGAAACTATTTCTTTATATATATAACAAGAAATAGAAAACTACAAAGAATATTTTAAAAAATTATAATTATTTTTTAAATAAGCTCTTTAATTTTAAATTGATTTATTTTAAATCAAGGGATTTATAGGAATATAATATGAAAAGCATATCTTGATGAGCATGATATATTGAAGGAATTATTTAATAAAAAAAAATCTCATTTTTATCATACATTTTTGTGAGGGTCCAAATAAATAATATTATTTCTTTTATGAAATTAAATTATTTCATACTAATTATTTTTGGTGGAAAAAAAAAATATTTTAATTAATTGAACATTTTGGACTTAGTATTCACATCATTGGACATGGATGAAGCCATTATGCATTACCTAATCTTGAGAAGTGACGATTTGAGGCTCCACTTGTATACTTTTCGTAGCATGTGAAAAGACTAAAATGCCCTTTACCTATTACATCATATTAGAGATATCGTTCTTCAAGTAGCATCTCGTATGCTTGTTTTAACACTGACTTTCGATTAAGTATTAATTTAAGTATTGAAGTTTACACGTCTTTGCATCCAAATTATACATCAATTGAGAGAATTTATACTAACATAAAAAAAATTAAAAAAAATAAAAATAATTATTTTCTCTATTTATTGATAATAAAAAATTATTGCATAAAAAATAATAAAAAAAAAGTGGGATTACAATAATTGATATGTTGGATTTGATAAACCCTATTATTGGTTCCATATAAGATAAGAGTTTCTTTTTTTGGAAAATGAATTATTCAAGAAAAATAAAAGGCTTCAATTATGTCAATAAAAGAAAAACAAAAAGAAAAAAAAGCCATTAAAGCTTTCCTTTTCAAGAAACTCTTCACCTATGGATTCAATTGCGCATGGCTGCTTATATCTATTTTAAGGAATTTCAATCTTAAGGGCAAACTCTTCTCTTCATCCAACGGCTCTTATCTTTTTTGTGATGGTTCTGATGGTGTTACGCGTAAGTATTTTGAATCTTAGGCACTCTAAGTACATCAATTATAGTGAATTAACTAGTATGTTTAGAAGCATTAAAAAACTCAACTAGTTTGAATACTAACCTTTTGTTGTTCAAGTTTCTTTTTCCTCACGAATAGGTTTCGAACCACCACTAGTGTCTTCTCCACTATTCTCCGGTCTTAGAATGGGATTGTAGAATCCGGTGAGTGACTAACTTGGGAGGAATTTAGTATATATGAAGAAAGAGTTTGTGAGAGGTTTTTCTTAAGGTTTTTTTCCGAAAAAGCCAATTTTTCATGTACCATGATCACTCAATTTATAGAGTTATGTTTGCAATGCAAATTTGAGATCACCAAATTTTGACTCTCAAAATTCCACTCAAATTTGTGGAGTTTATTTGGCAAACATGCAAGTTTGGTTAAACCAAATTTTGACATCTCAAAATTCCACCAACATAGATTTTTCCATTAAATGAAGTCAACATTTTGACTTTCTTCATTTTGATTCAACAATCAATTTGAATTATTAATTTCAAATTAAAGTAATATTAAATAATTAATTAAACTATTTAATTAGTATTTAATATTAATTCAAATGCTAATCCTAATTAATTCCAACCCATATTTGATTAAGATATTTAAATCTTATTTAAATATTTTAGATTCTCTCTTTTTGTTTAATTCATAAATAAAACAAAAATACAGTTAAATATATCGTATATATGTAGCGCATTCTCCTTAATTTGAATTCGAACACTTCGAACTCACTCGTCACACTGTTCTATGGTTTAATCTGATATGAGCTAGCAGAGGGACCTAATAAACCTATAGATCATGGGCTCCAACGATCCAAGATTAACCAGTTAAACTCATTAACCTTGTTAACCAACATTCGTTAACTACTAGGACATTCCACTATAGCCTAGTAGTTGCATATAGATATATTTCTGTCCATTTGATATAACCATGATTAGTAAGTCGATCCTTCACAAGTTGTTCGTAACTAGAGCTGGGTCAATTTACCGTTTTACCCCTAAAGTTACTTCTTGTTCCTTATGTCTCACTGATCCTCTAATGAACAATTGGTTTGCGGTCCAACTAGTAAACCCAATCCCTCTCAGGCCAATGAGTGGATGGGGCCCCTTGTTCAAGACCTGGAGTCAGTACTTACGGGAACTACCTCTCTTCTATCCCTAAAAGTGGGTAGGAGTGAATTCATCTTGCACCCCACGTCCCCAGCCATTTACCCAGTCGTACCCCTAAAATGGGAGGCTTATTGAGTCGGCGAACTTGAGCCACTCTCACCTATGCAAATCTAAGGATAATTCCGCAACAGGAGTTCATGATTAGCTCAAGATTAAGATCGAGTTACCTAGGTCATCGAATGAAAAGAAAATTAGTCTCAACAGTAAACGACATTATAAAGTGAGAGTGATTTTCTTCATGGTCCGATCTTATGCAATACTCATTGCATAGGACGCCCCCACTCACATGTCTCCACATGTACAATTTAATGATCACATTGTTTATATCATATACAAAAAGTGGGCCGCATCCATAGTGTCCCCAGAATAAGGTACTCAGCCTTATCCTTATACTATAGATCATTTTGACTATATACTTGAACTTGATCAACTCTTATGTCTCTACATATAGTTCAAGTAATCATACTATAGCCAGAGTGTTCTTAATTTATTGGATTTAGATTAATGGTCATAAAATTCACTTTATTCAATAACAATCTTTATTGAATAAACAACAATAATAACTTTATTGAAAATAGAATATGTTTTTGTTTACGAACTATGAGTTTTAGGACATAAAACCCAACAATTCCATCCATCACTCACCTTTTATTCATCTCCCATGTCCGTTTTACAAAAGTTTGTATAATAGCTCAAGCTCTTGCTAGCAGATATTGTCTACTTCAGTCTATCGCCGTTAATTTCACGATTTTAAAATGTCTACTAGGGATTTTCATACTCTTGTAAGGAATGTTTCGTTTCCCTCTCCAACTGATACGAGATTTGATTGTTTGAAAAATGAATAAATGAATATTTTTTAAAATTGAAGAATAAAAACTAAATGCTAAGAAAAATGAGAAGAATCGAGATAAGAGTACAAGTATGTGAACAAGAAGGACGAAGAGGAGGATAAAAGAGAATGAGAGAAGGAATAAGAAGAGGTAATCACGATATTAGCACGGAGGAGGAGCCCGTGCTGGAAGTGTTGGAG